CAATCAACCAACCTCAACTCAACTTCAATCAATCAACCAACTTCAATCCTCAACTCAACTTCAACTCAACTCAACCAATCAATCAACTCAACCTCAATCAACCCCACCCTCACCAACCAACTCAATCAATCAACTTCAACCTCAACTTCAACTTCATCTACCTCAATCAACTTCACCAATCACCCCACCTCACACCAACTCACCTCACAACCTCAACTTCACCAACTTTCACCACCAACCAATCTCAACTCAACCAACTAACCAATCACCACCCCACCACCCACCACCACCACCAATTCACCACCACCACCACCCCACCAATTCACCACCACCTTTCACCACACTGGCCCACCACCAACCAACCACCAACCAACTGCACCAACTTAACCAACACAACCACCCCAACCACCACCACCACCCCAACCAATCTCAATTCACACCCCAACCAATCTCAATCCACCCCAACCAACCAACTTCAACTTCAACTTCAACTTCACCAATCAATCAATCACCCCACCAACTTCAACTACCCCAATCAATCAACTTAAACTCAACTCAATCAACTTTCAATCAACCAATCTCTAACCAATCAACTTCAATCAACTTCAACTTCAACTTCACCTCAACTTCAACTTCAACTTTCAATCAACTACCAATCAACTTCCACCAACTCAACTCACCTCAACTAACCACCACCAACATCAACCCACACCACCACCCCACTCAACTTCAATCAACTTCACCAACTCAATCAACCAACTCAACTCACCCAATCAACTACCACCAATCCTCAACCACACCAACAATCACACCACCAATCCCACCACACCACCAATCAACTTCACCAATCACCACCACCACCAACTAACTCACCACCAATCCACCACACCAACTTCACACCAACCAACCAATCAACCAACTCAACTCACCCCACCAACCTCACCACCACACCAACCAACCACCAACCACACCAACCACCACCAACCCCACCCCACCCCAACCCCACCCCACCACCAATCACCCCACCCCAACAACCACCAACCCAATCAACCAACCAACCCCACCACCACCCCACCCACCAACCAACCAATCAACCACACCCCACCAACTCACCCCACCCCACCACCAACCACCCCCACCAACTGACCCCAATCAACCACACCAACTACCAACTTCAACTACCAACCAACTAATCAACAATCAACTCAACTTCAATCAACCAACTTCAACTCCATCAACCACACCACCACCCCACCCCACCTCAATCACACCCCAACTTCAACTCAATCAACTCAACTCAATTCCATCTCACCAACTCACCACCTCACCACCTCACCCTCACCACCACCAACTCAATCTTCACCAATCTTCACCACCACCACCACCACCCACCACCACACCACCACTCACCACCACACCCACCACCACCACCACTTCCCACCAATCAATTCACCAACCACACCACCACCCTCACCCAACCAACCACCAACTTCCACCAACTCAACTTCAACTTCAACTTCAACCAACTCACCAATCAACCAATCAACTCCAACTCAACTTCACCAACTTCAATCAACTTCAATCAACTTCAACTCAATCAACTTCAACTCAATCAATCAACTCAACTTCAATCAACTCAACCAATCAACTCAATCACCTCAATCAACTTCAACTTCAACTAACTTCTCAACTCACCCCAACCCCACTCAACTCAACTTCAACTCAACTCAACTCAACTTCAACTTCAACTCAATCAACTCAACTTCAATCAACTAACTCAACTTCAACTTCAACCACCACCCAATCAACTCAACTTCACTTCAACTCATCTCACCACCACCAACTCAATCAACTAACCCAATTCAATCTCTACACCATCAATCAATCAACCTTCACCAATTTCAACCAACCACCACCAACCAACCAACCCCACACCCAACCCCACCACACCACCCCACACCACCACCCCACCACCACCAACCACCACCCCAACCCCACCCCAACCCCAACCACCCCCACCACCACCCCACCCCACCAACCCCCCAATCAACCACCCCACCAACCCCACCACACCACCCACCCCACACCCCACCACCACCACCCCACCCACCCCACCAACTCACCACCCACCTCACCACACCCCACCCAACTCCCCACCACCCACCAATCCACCACCAATCTCAACTCACCATCCACCTCAATTCAACCTCACCCAACTCAACCTCAATCCACAAACTTGTCTCAACTGACCAACCCTCACCACCACTCAATTCAACTTCAATTCACCACTTCATCATTTCACCCCACCACACCACCAATCAACCTCACCACCACCACCTCACACCAACTCCACCAACCAACCAACTCACACCATCAATCAACTTCACCACCACCAACTACCAACTTCAATCAACCATCAACTCACCCCACCACCAACCCCAACCAACCCCAACCCCAACTCCAACCAACCCCAACTCCACCAACCAACTCAATTCCAACTCCCCACCCCACCAACTTAACTCAACCAACCAACCAACTTCTCACAACCAACCAACTCACAACCCCACCCCAAACTTCAACACACCAACCAACCAACCAACAACCAACCCACTCAACCCTCAACCCTTCAACTCAACTCAACCACCAACCAACAAACCACCAACTCAACCAACCCACCCCACACCCACCAATCAATCTCAACTCAACTTCACCACCAACTCACCTCAATCACAATCAACTCACATCAACTTCACAATCTCAATTCACCACCACCACACTCCAACCAACTTCAACCCCAACCCCAATCAACCAACTCAACCAACTCAACCAACCAACTCAACCAACTCAACCCAACCCAACTCAACTACCAATCAACTCAACCAACTCAACCCCAACCCACCCCACCCCAACTCCGACCCTCAACCAAACCAACCAACCAACCAACTACCAACTCAACCTCAACTTTCACCAACTCAACTCAACAACTTCAACTCAACTCCCAATCAACCAACCTTCAACTCAACTTCAACCCAACTCAACAACTCAACTAACTCAACTAACCACCCACCACCCTAACCACAACCAACTAATCAACTTAAATCAATCTCACCACCACCAATTTCACACCAATTCAACCACCACCACCTTCACCAACGACCACTTTGCCACCAATACCCCACCCCACCCCACCAACCCAATCTCAACCAACCCACCAACCCCAACCCCAACCCCAATCAACTGCCCCCACCAACCACAATCCAACCCCACCAACTCAACCACACCACCACCAACACCCCACCCCAACCACCAACTCACCAACCCCAACACCACCACCACCAACACCACCAACTCCACCAACACCACATCCACCACCACACTAACACCACCACCTTCCACCATCAACAATCAACCACCCTCACCCCAACTCCCAACTCACCAACTAACCAACCAATCAACTCAACCAACTAACCAACAACCATCAACCACCCCAACCAACCAATCAATCAACCAACCTCAACTCACCAATCAACTCACCAATCAAATCAACCAACTCAATCATCTCAACACCAACCAACCGACCAACCAATCAACCAACCCCACCACCAATCAAATCCAACCAACCAATCAAATCAACCCCAACCAACCTCAACCAACTCAACCACCAACTAACCAACTCAACCAACTTCAACTTCACCCAACTGACCTCAACTCAACTTCAATCAACCTCAACCAACCTCAATCAACTCAACTACAACCACCAACCAACTATCACACCAACTAACCAACTCAACCAACTCAACTCAACCCCACCAACCAACTCAACTAACTTCACCACCCCAACTCACCAACCACCACCAACAACTCACCACCATTACCAACACCACCACCACCAACCACCACACCCACCAACCACCACCACCACCACCACCACCACCCACCAATCAACCACCACACCAACCAACTAACCATCAATCAATCAATTAAACCAACCACCAACCACACCAATCTCAACTCAACAAACTACTGACTCAAATCCAACTCAATCAACTTCAATCAACTCTCAATCAATCACCAACCAACTTCAACAACAACTCAACTTCAACAACCAACCCCCACTCAAACCATCTTCAACTTCAACCAACTCAACTCAACTCAACCAACCTCAAACCCCCAATTCAATCAACCAACCACCAACCAACTTCAACTAACCAACTAACTTCAACCAACTCAACTTCAATCAACTCAACTTCAACCTCAACTCAATTCAACCTCAACCTCAACCAACCTTCACCCCACCAATTCAACAACCAATTCAATTCACTTCTTCCCACAAACCAACCAACCCCACCCCACAAACCAACCACCACCAACCAACCAACCAACTCAACCATCAACAACCCACCACCAATCAACCACCAACATCAACTCCACCCACCAACCACCCCAACCAATCATCAACCACCCCAACAACTTCAACGATCTCAACTAACTTCAACCAACTCCCCACCAACCCCAATCAATCAACCAACCCCCAATCAACTTCACCAAACCCAACTCCAACCAACTTCAACCCCACCAACCACCCCAACCAACCAACCAACCAACCACCCCAACCCCACCAACCACCCACCCCACCAACTCAACTCAACCACACCCACCACCACCACCACCCCACCACCCACCACACCACCCCCACACCACCACCACCACCAACTCCACCAATTCAACCTCACCACACCCCACCACCACCCCCACCACCCCACCCCAATCAACCCCACCCCAACCAACACCAACACCAATCAACCAATCAACAACCAACCAACTCAACTAACCAACCACCCCAATCAACCAATCACACACTAACAACCAATCTCACCAACCCACCCTCAAATCACCAACCAACAACTCAACTCAACCAACCAATCAATCAACCAATCAACTCAACTAACTCAACCAACCAACTCAACTTCAACAACAAACCACCAACCAACCTCACCCAATCAACAACTAACCTTCACACCATCACTCCAACTACTCAATCAACTAACCAACTCAACTCAACCAACTTCAACTAACCCCAACTCAACTTCACCCCACCAACACCCCACCACCACCACCACACAACCACCTCAACCACCACAAACCAACTCACCACCAACCCCACCACCACTAACACCACCACCACCACCAACCCACCACCACCACCACCAACCACCACCACCAACCACCCCACCACCCCACCACCAACCACCCCACCACCCCACCACCAACACCATCACACCACCACACCACCACCAAAACCCAACCAACAATAACCAACCAACCAATCAACACCAACCACCAATCCAACTCAACTATCACCCACAATCACCACCAAACCAACCCAACTCAACCAACCACACCACCAACTTCAACCAACCAACCAACCAACTCAAACACCACCAACCAACTCAATCAATCAACCTAACCAACCAACTAAATCAACAACCAACTCAATCAACTTCAACTAACCACCTGACCACCCCACCAACCAACTCACCCCACCCATCCAACTCAACTCACCCCAACCCACCAACCCCACCCACCCACTAACACCCCACCACCACCACCACCACCACTCCACTCAACGCCACCACCACCACAACCACCACTCACAACCAACCAACCAACAACAACCAACCAACCAACTTCAACCAAACAACCAACTCCACCACCAACCAACCAACCAACTTCAACCACCAACTCAACCACCACCAACCACTCAACCAACACCAACTCCACCCACCAACCAACACCACCAACCGCCACCCCAACCACCAACCACAACCACCAACCCCACCCCACCAACCCACCACAACCACCACCAACCACCAACCACCCCACCAACCAACCACCCAACACCAACCAACCAACCAACCAACCAACCAACCACCACCCCACCATCTCACCCACCACCACCACCCCACCACCACCCACCACCAACTCACCACCACTTCAACCCCACATCCACCTTCAACCAATGTCCCCACCAACCCAACCCCAACCATCAACAACCAACTTCAACCACCAACAACCAACCTTCAATCAACTTCAACTCACCAATCAACTCAATCAACAATCAACTCAACTCAACTTCAACCACCAACTGAACTTCAACTTCAATCAACCAATCAACCAACCAACCAATCAAATCAACAAACCAACCAACCAATCAACCAACTTCAACCAACTCAATCAAATCAACTTTCAACCAACCAACCCAACTAACAAACCAATCAACAACCAACTAACTTTCACCCCACCAATCTCAATCAACTTCACCCACACCTCAACCAATCAACTCAACTCAACTCAACCACCAACCAACCCCAATCAACACCAACCAATCAACCCCAATCAATGTCCCCACCTCACCACCAACTTCAACCAATCTTCAACACCACCACCAACTTCACACCAATCACCACCACCACCACCCACTAACACCATCACCACCACCACCACCACCCCACCAACTCACCACCAACAACCCCAACCAACCAACACAAACCAACCACCCCCAACCACCTCAATCAACCAACCACCACACACTCAACCAACCAACCAACCTCAATCAATCAACTTCAATCAAATCACCCCAACCAACCCACCAATCAAACCCCAACTTCAACCACCCCAACTTCAACCAACCAACCAACCACCTCCCAACCAACTCAACTCAACTTCAACCCAATCAACTAACTCAACTCAATCCCAACCACCCCAACTCAACTTCAACCTAACCTCTCAATCAACTCAATCAACCAACTACCAACAAACCACCAACCACCAACCACCAACCAACTACCATCACTCAACAACAGCAACCACCACCACCACCACTGCACCACCACCACCACCACCACCACTCAACACCAATCACCACCAATTCACCACCACACCACCACCACAAACCCACCACCACCCCACCCCACCAACCACCAACAACTAACCAACCACCATCCACCCTCAACCAATCAACCACCACACCATCAACTTCAATCAACTCCCCAACCACCACCACACCAACTCAATCAACCAACCACACCAACTACCACATCCAACCAACCACCAATCACCAACTCAACAACCTCAACTTCAACCAACCACCAACCACCCCACCAATCCTCAACCAACCATCACCTCAATCAACCAATCAACCAACCCCACCCCACCCCAACCCCACCAACTCAACTCAATCAACTCAACTGACCAATTCACCAACTCAACCAACCCCACCACCTCAAATCAACTTCACCAACCAACTTCAACCAACCACCAACTTCACCAACCACCAATTCAACCACCTCACCAACTTCACCCCACCTCACCACCACCAACTCACCTTCATCTCACACCACCACCAACCACCTCACTAAACACCACCACCACCACTCACCACAACCACCACCAACCACCCAACCACCACCCCACCACCACCACACAACAACCCCACCACCACCACCACCCCAACCCCCACCCCACCATCAACAACCAACCAACCAACCAACCACCAACACCACCAACCAACCACCAACTCACCCACCCCACCACCCACCACCAACCCACCCCACACCAACACCAACCACCCACCACCCCACACCACCAACACCCCACCACCACCAACACCACCAACCACCAACCCCACCACCAACACACCACCACCACCACCACCACCAACCCACCACCACCACTCACCACCACCACCTCACCACCACCACCCCACCACCACCCACCACACCACCACCAACACCACCACCACCACCAACCACCAACCAACAACCAACCACACCAACAATCCACCACCAATCAAACCACACCCCAACCACCCCACAACTCAACTTCAACCAATTCAACCATCACCACCAACTCAATCAACCAACTCAACCAATTTCAACTTCAACTCAACTCAACTCAACTCAACTTCACCAATCAACCAACCAACTCAACACCAACCCCAACTCAACTCAACTCAATCAACTCACCAAACCCAACCTCAACTAACTCAATCAACTTCAACTTCAATCTCAACCAACCAACTTCAAACCCCAACTTCAACCCCAACTTCACCAATCTCAATCAACTCAACCACCACAACACAACTCACCTCAACCAACCAATTCACCACCCACCAACCACCCACCACCAACAACCACCAACTAACCAACAAACCCCACCACCACCAATCAACTACCAACACACCACCAACACCACCAACCAACCAACTCCACCAACAACTCACCAACACCAACCAATCAACCAACCAATCAACAACCAACTCAACCAACTTTCACCCCAACCCAATCAACCAACCACCAACAAACCCCCACCAATCAACCAACCTCACCCACAACTTCAACTCAACCATCACCAAACCCACCAACCAACCAAATTCAACCAACCAACTTCAAATCAACCAACTACCAATCAACTTCAACTTCACCAATCACCAACTCAACTTCAACCAACCAATCACCAAACCACTCAACTTCAACCACAACCAACTCAACTTCAACTCAATCAACCACCTCAACCCCACCACCAACACCACCAATCACCACCCCAACACCAATCAACCAATCAACTTCACCAACCTCACCTCAACCAATCAACTCAACTCAACTTCAACTTCAACCACCACCAACACCACCACCACCCACAACCACACCAACCACCACAAACACCAATCACACCACCACCTCAATCTTCACCCACCAACTTCAAACACCCCACCACCACCAACCACCACCAACCACCAAATCAACTCAACAACCAACTTCAACCAACTGACCACCAACAACCACCAATCAACCAACTGACCTCAACAACCAATCAACCAACTCAACCAACCTCAACCAACCAATCAAATCAACTCAACCAACCAACCCCAACCAACTCAACAACCCAACCAACTCAACCAACCACCAACTCAACCCACCAACCAACTCCACCCACCAATCAACCAACTCAACCAACCACCAACCCCACCAACCACCACCTCAACCCCAACCACCAACCCCAACCCCACCACCAACAAACAACCAACCAACTTCAATCAACCACCAACGCCACCACCAACTAACTCAACACCACCACCAACTCACCACCACCACCACCACCACCACCAACACCACCACCACCACCACCAACAACCACCCCCACCACCACCACCACCCCACCACCACCACTCACCCCACCACCACCAACAACCTCCACCACCACCAACACCACTTCCACCACCACCACCACCCCACCACCACCACCACCACCCCAATCAACCAATTCAACCACCCCACCAACACCAACAACCAATCAACCAACTCAACCAACCAACTCAACTTCAACTCAACTCAACCAACTCCAACCAACCACCAACCACTTCACCAACCCCAACCTCAACCCCAACCAACTCAATCAACACCAACCAACTCATCACCACCAACCCTCAATCATCACCTGACCAAACCAACCACCAACCACACCACCAACTAACCACCACTCAACTTCACCACCACCAACCACCCTCACCACCACCACCACCACCACCCCCAATCAACCACCACCACCACCCCACCAACCACAACAACAACCAACTCAACCAACAAACCAATCAACCACCAATCAACCCAACTAACCACCAACTCAATCACCAATCAACCTCAACCAACCTCAACTCAACACCAACCAACTCACCTCAAATCAACCAACCAACCATCACCAACCAACCACCAAACCCCACCAACCAACCAACTCTTCAACCCCAACTAACCAACTCAACCACCACCACCCCAACACCCACCCCAACTCAACTCAACCTCAATCAACCAACCAACTCAATCAAATCAACCAACCAACCAACCAACCAATCAACTAACCAACCAACTAACCACTCAACCACCTAACCAACCAACCAAACCAACTCACCAACAAACCACAACCACCAACTCAACCACCACCAATCAACCACCACCACCACCACCACCACCAACTAACACCACAATCACCACCACCACCACCACCAACCAACCAATCACAAACAACCACCACCAAACTTCAACCAACCAATCAACAACCAACCAACTCACACCAACAATCCAAATCAACCAACTTCAACTCAACCAACAACTCAACTAAACCAACCAACCCCAATCAACAACTTCAACAACCCTCAACCAACCAATCAACCAACCCAACCAACTCAACCAACTCAACAAACCCCACCAACCAACCAACTCAATCAACTAACCTCAACCAACCACCACCAACCATTAAAACCTCAACTCAACTCAACTCAACCCCACCAATCAACCAACTCAACCAACTCAACTCAACCACCAACTCTCACCAACCAACTAACCACCAACCCACCACCAACTCAATCAATAAACCAACTCAACCAACTCAACTCACCTAACCACCAACCACCACCTCAACTAACCTCAAACCACTCAACACCACCAACCACCACCACCACCAATTTCAACACCACCAACCCCACCCCACCACCACACCACCTCACCACCACCAACACCATCACCACCCCACGACCCCACCACCACCACCACCAACCAACCCACCAACAACTTCAACCAATCAACTTTCACCACCAACCAACTCAATCAACCAACTAACCAACCACCACCAACTTCAACTCAATCAAACAACTCAACCAACCAACCAATCAACTCAACCAACTTCAACCAATCAATCAACAACGACCACCAACTCAACCAACCAACTTCAACTCAATCACCAAACCAATCAACACCAACTCAAATCAACTAACTTCAATCAACCACCACCAACCACCAACACCAACTCAACTCAACCAACCAACACCGCCACCATCCAACCAACCACCAACCAACCCACCAACCAACACCAACTAACAATCCACCCCACCACCAACGCCACCACCACCACCACCAACAATTCAAACACCACCACACCACCACCACTAACGCCACCACACCACCACCACCACAACAACACCACCACCACCACCACACCACCACCACCACCAACACCACCACCACCACCACAACACACCAACCACCACCCAACACCACCACCACCATCACCACCACCACTAACACCACCTCAACCACCACCACCACTAACCACCACCACCACTAACACCACCACCACCACCACTAACACCACCAACACCACACCACCACAACCACTCAACCATTACAACCACCACCACCAACACCACCACCACCACTAACACCACCACCACCAACACAACCACCACCAACGCCAACCACTTCACCACCACCACCACAAACACCACCACCATCACCACCACCACCACTAACACCACCACCACCACCAACACCACCACTAACAGCAGCAACTTCACCACCACCATAAACACCACCACCAACCACCACCACCACACTAACACCACCACCCGCCACCACCACCACCACCACAACACCACCGCCACCACAACTCCACAAACACATCCACCACCACTACACCACCACCAACCCCACTAACAACATCAACTCAACCACCACCACAAACCGCCGCCACCATTCGCCACCACTAACACCACCACCTCAACCAACACCACCACCACAACCACCACCACCACCACCACCACCACCACCACCAACTAACACCACCACCAACTAACACCACCATAACGCCCACCACCACCACCAACACCACCAACCACCAACACCTGCTAATACCGCCACCAACCACTTCCACCATTACTAATCCACCACCACCACCACCACCACCAATAACTTCCACCACCACCATCCAACCACCACCACCACCACCACTAACCAACCCCACCCCAATCCACCACCACCTCTCACACCACCACCACCACCACCACCACCACCACCACCACCAATCCACCACTTTCCCACCAACACCACCACTAACACCACCACCACCACCACCACCACCAAACACCACCACTACCACCTAATCCACCACCACTAACACCCCACCACCACCACCACTACCATAACCACCACCACCACAACCCCACCACCTACAAACACCTGCACCACCACCACCACCACACCACTAATGCCACCACCACCACCTAACACCACCACCACCAATTTATCACCACTATAATACCACCACCACCACAATACCCTTTACTGTACCACCACCATACACCACCTGCCACCACCACCACCACCAACCCACCACCACCACCACCACCGAACTCACCACCAGCGCAATCACCACCACCACCACCACCACCACCACCACCAACTCACCACCATTACTAATCCACCACCACCACCACCACCACTCCAACACCACCACCACCACCACCACCCAACACCACCACCAACACCACCACCACCACCACCACCACCACCACCACCACCACCACCAACTCAACACCACCACCACCCACCACCACCACCACCGCCACCACCAACCCCACCACCACCACCAACACCACCAACACCACCACCACCACCACCACCACACACCACCACCTCCACTAACACCCACCACCACCACCACCACCACGACCCGACCACCACCACCACCACCACCACCACCATCACCACTACCACCACCACCACCACCACCCACATTCAGCGGAACGGTGGGAGCAGTCCACACTTCCTGCCCTCCACCGCCCTGCCCCTCCCCACCACCCAGGCTGCCTGCAAGTGACGCCTCGCCCCACCCTCCAACCAAACACATCTCTCCATCCATACACCCCTCCCATATCCATACACTCTCCCATCCATACACCCCTCCCCATCCATACAAACTCCCCATCCACACCTCCCTCATCCATACACACTCTCCCCATCCATACACTCTCCCCCATCCATACACCCATCCCATATCCATACCTCCCCCATCCATACACCCCTCCCATATCCATACACACTCCCCCCATCCATACACCCTCCCCATCCATACACCCTCCCCATCCATACACCCTCCCCATCCATACACTCTCCCCATCCATACACCCTCCCCCATCTATACACTCTCCCCCATCCACACCCTCCCATCCATACACCCTTCTCCATCCCTCTCCCCATCCACCTAACCTCCCCATCCATACACCCCTCCCCATCCATACACCCTCCCCATCCATACACCTCCCCCCATCCATACCCTCCCCCTTCCATACACTCTCCCCATCCATACACCTCCCCCCATCCCACCCTCCCCCATCCATACACCCTCCCCATATCCATACCTCCCCATCCATACCCCCCACCAACACCCCTCCAACCACCCCTCCCCCATCCATACACTCTCCCCATCCATACAACCTCCCCATCCTATACACTCCCCCCATCCCATACACCTCCCCCCATCCATACCCTCCCCCATCCATACACCCTCCCCTTCCATACCTCCCCATCCATACCTCCCCATCCACACCCTCCCCATCATACCCCTCCCATATCCACACCCTCCCCATCCATACACTCTCCCATCCATACACCCTCCCCCATCCATACACTCTCCCCATCCACCTTCCCCACCTCCTCCATCCATACACCCTCCCAACCACACTCCCCAACCACACACCTCCCCATCCACACACCCCACCCCATCCATACCCCTCCCCATCCATACACCCTCCCCTTCCATACACTCTCCCCATCATACACCCTCCCCATCTATACACTCTCCCCATCCATACACCCCTCCCCCATCCCACCCTCCCATATCCATACCCTCCCCCATCATACACCTCCCCCATCCACCCCATATCCATACACCCCTCCCCATCCATACACCTCCCCATCCATACCTCTTCCACCCATACCCTCCCATCTATACCTCTCCCCCATCCATACCTTCCATCCATACACCCCTCCCATCCATACACCCTCCAAACACCCTCCCCCATCCATACACCTCCCATCCTACACCTCCCCCATCCATAATCACGAGCACTACACCAGACGGGACATAGATAGGTGAAATAACTACGTAGAAAAATGGAAATTCCAAACCAGTCTCCCAACATTCACAGTGATACCCATTTGCGGAAGGAAAACCCATCCATTAGTAACCAATAATGCCCAGATAGATTACAAAGACAGAGGCACCCTCCTGGGCCTGCATATGTCCACGACAGGTTTCTTCCATCATGTCCACACCAGGAAGGAAAAGGCAGAAAGAAAGCCGAATATAGTATACCGCTAGGATAGTTCTACTTAATACCATGTTTTGTGTCAAAGTTTTGAAGAACAATGGTTCCCAAACTACAGCTCAAACTGAGTTGATGTTCTATCTAAGTAATCCCGACTATATTATAGTATATATCAGGTGCCTAAAAGAGAGCTCAGGTTCTCAACTGGCTCAGCCATGTTAATATTGTTATTATTATCCACTCTGTATCTGTGTTTTTCTGGCTAAATAAACTGTTTCAATTAAATTCAATTATCTCGCCAACCTTCCACAAAAGACTCTCTTTGGGGCGTGGCTTCATAAAGTGTTACAGATCTCTTGAAACTGAATGTCCCAATCACCCCAGACGAACCCATTAATGCCATTCCTCCTTGGCTGGATATATCAGTTCCTATTAATTACACTCTTGTTGGTAGTAAGCAAATGTTAAACACCGATGTGATGAGATGTGTCACACTAAAACTATTAACAGACACATAGAGAGTATTAAATCAAGTGAATGTTATACTTTTACTGGAGGTTCTGTGCAGACAAACACAGGTAGAACAAATCGTGCAGGTGTAATATATAATGATGATAGTGTCAAACAAGCAAAGGCTGAACAACTGGGCAAACTCAACACAAACTGAACTAACTGGAATCTACATAGCTACAGACTACCTTAAAGAAAATGGAGATGGGGTGATATTCTGTGACTCAAAGTTGTATGTGATGTTGAAAGAAATGTGTTAACTGTCTATTCTTCTTTGCTTTTCTTATCTCGGTCTTAACCCTACTGGCCAATACCTTATAATAATCTCGGAGGTAAACTTTACCACGATTTATTCTCCTACCTGTAGCCTTCCTTTGTCCAATAATATCCTTTAAATAATTATTTATTCATTTAGGATCATTGTTGTTTGATCTGAGTTTTCTGTATGGTATGTTCTGCCTTTGTGCATTAAGTAGCTGTCGCCTTCATTGATTTCACTAAAGCATTCGACCTAGTCGACCACAATATAATCATCAACAAAGCTATTGACCTCGGGCTTCGGAGTAGTCTTATACCATGGCTTACAGACTTCCTCAGTGACCGACGCCAAGCTGTACGCTTCCGAGGGGCTGTCTCCACCTTTCAGTCACTCACCTGTGGCGTCCCCAAGGCACCAAGATGGGACCACTCTGCTTCCTTATGCTCATCAATGATGCCCTAAGAGAAACCCCTGCTCGCTGGAAATATGTCGACGACTCCACCATTGGGATCAGCGTCAACAATTCTGCTCCCAACTATACCGCCCTTCAGGATTTATTGAACAGTCTCCAAAACTGGGCCACCAACAACCATGTCACCATCAACTCCACCAAGACCATGGTTATGCACATCAACCTCTCCTCCGACATTGTCCCACCTCCTTCCATTACTCTGGTCCGAACACACTCTAGGTTGTAGATTCCACAGCTCCTCGGCGTCACCATAGACAACAAACCAAATTGGAAACCACACGTCAGTGAAGTTGTCCAAAACCTCCAGTTTCCGTCTCCACCTCCTCCGCCGACTCAAGTCCCTCCAAGTTCCTGCACCCGAGCTTCTCAGTGTTTACTCAACATTCATACTTCCCCAAGCTCACCTATGCCTCCCCTACATGATCTTTCCTAAATGCCACACAACGTAAACACCTAGAAAAAGTGCAAAGAGGGCATCCAAGATTATTCTCTCCCTTCCTACTCCACATATCAAGAAGCGCTCAACACACTGACCTTTTCGACTCTCACTGACCATCACCACGACCTCATCTGCAAATTTGGTAAGAAGCTTTTACACCATCCTCGACACCGGCTCACTACCACCTGAGATCCCTAGCCCGAGAATTGCTGTTCGACACCCACAAACGCATCCAGCCCATACGTGCACGAACTGATCGCGATAAGAACAGCCCAGTCCCAACCATTGTAAAATTATCAATAACTTGTAATAAACCAGTGTATTCACTCCCAGTAAACACTATTCCTTGCACTGTCACTATGTTGAAATAAACTGTAGTTTGAGCTTTTCCCCATCTAGTTATTATATATCTTATTTGTATCACTTATGTTACTTGTATATTATTTGTAATTCGAAACCCATTCCCAATATGTAATCTGTATTTTCAGTTCTCTGGCCAAGCCTCTTCAATAAACCGTTATTATTATTATTATTATTATTATATATTATTATTTGAATTGTTGTGAACTCATCAACCTCAGATCTTGTGATCAGATCATCCTCAACCATCAGGTCTCCAGGTGTTGAGGTCGCCTCTGCAAGTATGTGAGGTCACCTCATGAGGTCATGTAATTCACCCCAAGCGTATTACCCTTCTCTCAGCTGCCTCTTCAAACTATCAAAGTTTGCCCGTGAAAACTGGGACTCTAGTGGAATTTCCAGCTGCCCGAAATTTTAAATGGAATCTTATTTCTTTGTGATCGCTGTTAGCAAGATCGT